GGTCTCGAACCCGCGGGCTCAGGCAATCCACTCACCTCAGCCTCCCAAAGGCACAGGATTACAGGCTGAGCCACCGAGCCTGGCTCAGTGAGTAGAATTTAAACTTCTCTTCATGACTCAAGAAGAGTATAATCATCAGCTCTGGATTTCAAGGGCATGACCGCCTCAAGGACCATGCAGCTGTGGAATGCAGTCCACCTCCTGTGCTGGTTAGGCCCTACCTGCTAAATGCTTTTAATCCTCCAGTCTGCTTGTGATCCTTTCTTTCTTCTCCCTTCTGTTAGACTGCCACCCTGTTCTTCATATTATCACTGTGTCTAGGAGTTCCCAACTCCATTCCTATGTATTGATTCTAATCTGCTAAACAGATAACTCAATTTGACCTTGAAAAAAATCGTCAAATGAGGGAAAGCAATGTAGGGGCTTTCCCTTCACCCTCTGAAGGCTCACTGAAAAGTTAACTCACAAGAGGATATTAACTGGAGAAAAGGCATACAGATTAATTAACATGCATACAGGGGAGAATCACAAATTGATTACCCCGGTCCTCCACTGGATTTCAGAGGCTTGTATACCATCTTGAGGTTACAGAAAGAATGGCGACTTGGATCATGGTAAAACAGGTTATGGTAAATCAGGTTATGGTGGCAAGACAGATTATGGGAGAGTGAGGACAGGAGGCCTGGCCAGCAGAGGTGGTCTTGTTATGTAGGTGAAATCTCATGGGTAGCAGCCCTCAGAGAGAATAGATGATAAATGTTGCTTTCAGATCTTTAAAGATGTCATACTCTCAGTTCATCTATCCTAGATTTGGACAAGAGAAGGCCTCAAAGGAAGCCTAACTGCATTTTCTCTACAGATGCAGACTCCCAACAAAAAACAGCTTAGCAGGACTCCTTCTGTCTGCAGATCCTCTGATAGTCATCTCCAAATATGAGAGAGAACCCCTCCCAAAAAAATGAAATTATCTTTTTGTGGGCGGGCCCCTTTTAGTATACTCAGAATTTGTTCCTCTAGATTAAATGGTCAACCAAAGTTTTTATCTAGAAGTTTGAGACGGCTGCATTACGATTGTGGAAGAAATGTCACAAGTTATGGCAAACAGGTGACTGGTTCTTGCACCATGACAATGCACCTGCCTACACTGCATTGAGTGTTCAGCAGTTTTTGACCCAAAACAGCATGACCCCCACGCCCCACCCTCTCTATTCACCAGATCTCACCCCGAGTGACATTTTTCTGTTTGACTGAATGAAAAAATTCATCAAAGGGAAACGTTTTGCCGTTGTGAAAGAGGTGAAACAAAAACAGTAGAAGCACTAAAAGGCATCAAAATTGACAAGGTCAAAAACTGGTTTGAGCAGTGGAAAAAGCATCTTTTTTTTTTTTTGAGTTGGAGTCTCACTCTGTCACCCAGGCTGGAGGGCAGTGGCACACTCCCGGCCACCGCAGCCTCGACCTGCCAGGCTCCGGCAATATTTCCTCCTCAGCCTTCCAAGTAGCTGGAACTACAGACACGGAAAAGCATCTTGATAGGTATACTGCATCAAATGGAGAGTACTTTGAAGGTGAAGTTTAAGCATGTCAATAAATACACAATTTTTAATAAATAAATTCTGGGTTTGGGGGATCCCCCTCTTATGTCAAAGAAGAATACTTGGGGATGAAATATTTTTATTTCCTTCAGTGGCCTCATCAAGAAGTCAGTCACAGGAAAGCAATGAACTTCTTATAATTAAAGCCCAAGGTGCTCCATCTTGGAATGGGAGAGGCCTCTGGTTGAGTGGGCGTAACTCTGAGCTTCTTGCCTTGTTAGATCCAGCAGTTTATCCAAGACCTGTCAGACATCTGGATAGAGGTAAAGAAGAAGGAACAGCAGCAAAGCCGTGTCTAAGGAAGCAGCATGGTTCCAGAATGTTCTGAGACAGAGAATAAGTTCCTGGAGAGCTTGCAGTCCAATCAGCCCAGCCCAGCTGCTGAGGCCTTCCTGCTGGTGAACACCCGGTCATTTTCCCCTTGAGCCTCAATCCATCCCTGAAGTTAAATGTTATAAGTAGTTTGTTCTTAAGTTCTCTCTCTTTTTGGCAGTTTATTTATGGGGAAAAGAGTCAATGAGGGGAAAACCCCATAAACACTCCCTCTTAAAGTGGGTCACTTGGGCTGCCCAGGAACTAGAAACTGTCTCTTATGTCTGGTGTCCCTAGACTTTGGGCTTACTCACAGTCTGTGTCCAGGCGGGCAACAGAGCAGGGAAGTGAGCACAGAGGACACTTCTCTACCACCTCAAAGACATTTTTTTTTTTTTTTTTTTTTGAGTTGGAGTCTCACTCTGTCACCCAGACTGGAGTGCAGTGGCCGCTCCCGGCCACCGCAGCCTCGACCTGCCGGGCTCCAGCGATCCTTCCACCTCAGCCTTCCGAGTAGCCGGAACTACAGGCACGGGCTACCACGCCCGGCTAATTTTTTTTTTGATTTATTGTAGAGATGAGGTCTCACTAAGTTGCCCAGGCGGGTCTCGAACCCGCAGGCTCAGGCAATCCACTCACCTCAGCCTCCCAAAGGGCAGGATTACAGTCTGACCCACCAATTCCGGCGACAAATTTTTAAATTGGTGTTTTAATCAGGGTGCGAAGACCCACTAGAAACTACAAAGGCAGCTTCCTAGGTCAGAGTTCCGAAGGTGCTAAGGTGAGAGTGTTACCAACAGCAAGCTCAACTGCTCATGGCTTGTACCCTGAGATAGACATGCATGAGATGTAGTAGAAGGAATTTTGGGCCGGGCTTGGTGGTTCAGCCTGTAATCCCAGCGCTTTGGGATGCCGAGGTGAGTGGATTGCCTGAGTCTGCAGGTTGGTTCGAGACCCTCCTGGGCAACTTGGCGAGACTTCACCTCTACAATAAATAAAAAAAAAAATTAGCCAGGCGTGGCAGCGCGTGCCTGTAGCTCCAGCTACTTGAAAGGCTGAGGCGGAAGGATCGCCGGAGCCCAGCAGGTCGAGGCTGCGGTGGCTGGGAGCAGCCACGGCACTCCAGTCTGGGTGACAGAGTGAGACTCCAACTCAAAAAAAAAAAAAAAAAAAGAAGAGATTTTGTTCCAAAAGCCAGCAGATGGTAAAATGGCCAGAAAAAAAAAGAAAAATTTGAGACCGGAGTTAGGGGATTTCAAAGGAAATCAGTGGAATGAAAATATCCTGGAGCGGTTCCAGGAGCTGATCTTGCTTTGATGGTTATCTCAAATTGTTGTCCAAGCTTCTGATACCATCCCTGATTGTAGCCAGTTTAACTGCCTTAAGGTGATTTCTAAATGATAGAGAATTCTGTTGTGGAGTGTCCGTACGTCTGGAATTTCTCAAGCAAGTATACAATTAGATTAGAATGGGGGAAAAAAATCTTTTAAGTGTAGGCTGAGAGAGAAAAAGGCTTAAAATCATTTCTCAAAAACTGAAATGGAAATTACAAGAACTCTTACCTGACTTGGGAGTAAGCCCTGCTCCTTGTCCCCCGTGTACCCTAAAACAGCAGTCCCCAACCTTTTAGGCATCAGGGACTGGTTTCATGGAAGATCATTTTTCCATGGAGTTTGGGGGGGGGGATTGGAGGATGGCTTTGGGATTATTCAAGCACATAATACTTATTGTACACTTTATTTCCATTATTATTACATTTTAATATATAATGAAATAATTATACAACTCACCATTTTTTTAAAAAGAGGCTTGGATGGAAGTGGTAAATAAAATAATGGGTGAGTGTCAAATTCTGACTTAAAGCCTGCCACCAGATACAGCTGTACAACTGAAGAACATTGACTCACTTACCGCTCATTGATAGGGTTTTGATATGAGTCATAATAAAGCAGTTGATTTATTATGGTCTCTGTGTAGTCAAGCCTCACCGCTAATGTTAATCTGCATTTGCAGCCACTTCCTAGTGCTAGCATCTTCACCTCAGCTCCACCTCAGATTGCCAGGAATTAGATTCTCATAAGGAATGCACAACCTAGATCCTTCACATACACAGTCCAAATAGGGTTCACACTCCCATGAGAATCTAAGGCCGCTGCTGATCTGACAGGAGGTGGACTCAAGCAGTAATGCAAGCGATGAAAATGACCATAAATACATATGAAGCTTTGCTTGCTTGCCAACCTCCTGCTATGTGTCCTAGTTATTTATTTATTTATTTTTTTGAGTTGGAGTCTCACTCTGTCGCCCAGACTGGAGTGCAGTGGCTGCTCCCGGCCACCGCAGCCGCGACCTGCTGGGCTCCGGCGATCCTTCTGCCTCAGCCTTCCAAGTAGCTGGAACTACAGGCGCGCACTACCATGCCTGGCTAATTTTTTTTTTTTTTTGATTTATTATAGAGATGAGGTCTTGCCAAGTTGCCCAGGCAGGTCTAGAACCTGCGGGCTCAGGCAATCCACTCACGTTAGCCTCCCAAAGGTACGGGATTACAGGCTGAGCCACTGAGCCCGGCTTGGCCTGGTTCTTTTTTTTTTTTTTTTTAATTTTTTTTTTTTTTTTTTGAATTGGAGTCTCACTCTGTCGCCCAGACTGGAGTGCAGTGGCCGCTCCCGGCCACCGCAGCCTCGACCTGCTGGGCTCCGGAGATCCTTCCGCCTCAGCCTTCCAAGTAACTGGAATTACAGGCATGCGCTACCACGCCCGGCTGATTTTTTGATTT